TCACATTAATCAACATTAGAGAGAGTGAACGTGCCTCCATTGGTTGGTTTTCAGCTGTTGTCTCGGGGGCAGGATGCTTAAAAGCCTATTTGAAATATGCCGGATTTTGCCAAAATGAGAAAATCAATTCTACATTCCACAGTCTCTCTGCAGGGCGCCCTGTGTGAGAAGAGCTCATTTACTGAAGGCAAAGCATCCGCAAACACTGATACACAACTAGAGATGGAAAGACACGGGAAACACAGACTGTCATTATGTCTGTACTTTCACAGATTCACCTGTCTCAGCCATAAATGGCACATACAGTATGTTATACAGATGAAACACGTCTGTCCGATGGTTAGAACTTATCAACTATGTGAAGTTCACACACTGCATATATGGGTGTAGCTTAGTGATGAGGACAATCACAGCAGTGGTTCTGTGCAGAACCTTTCAATGCTACCACTTAAGTAGCATTTTAACTTTTAATTAAGGAAACTGAAAAACGTCCAACTACAAACGTGACAAAACTAATTTAGTCCAGGACTTGATATTGATTAATAGCGATTTTCGTATCGATCAGTTGACTAGTTTGTGAAACCCCGACTGGATCAGATTGAAATACTTTTGAAATATAAACATGATTTCATCCACAGTTTCCCAAATTCTAGACATTAGGAGCTGATGTTTCTTTCGTCTAGTTTAATAAAATATTGTTTTTCTATGTCAAAACATCTATTTAGCACATTTGATATTACTATCTCAAATCCCTTTAAAGCAGCATAGTTTGGGACTAAAACATCTATATATTAAAAGCTGAAATCGGAAACATATCTCCACATAATTCCTCCAAATTGACTGTTGAGAAATATGTTATCTTTTGAAAGTTATAGGGCCGCTACTTTATCGTGCTCAGTTTGAAAAATGACTCTGTATTTTGATCAATTTTACCAACAAAAGTAAATAAGAGTAATATTATGAAAGACTGACTCTGGACTATTGAGGATCTACCTCGAACACACAGATACACATACAGATGACCGATAAACATGTGTACACAAGCAAGTGCATGATGCTATACGTATGTGTAGAAACTGTACATACACACACACACACACATACACATGTCTTGGGGCCAAAGCTGTAAAAGGTCTGTGCGTGGCTAATTTAGTACAGAGACAACCACCAGATCAGCTCATAAAACACACTCGTTAGACACACACCGTAGCCCGTACAATGTGTGTGTGTGTGTGTGTGTGTGTGTGTGTGTGTGTGTGTGCGTTTGTGTCCCGGAGGTGTGTTTGATCTCCTGACTGTGATAATGTGATATCCAGCCCTCGTCTTTGATCCCCTCATCACTATAAACACTGCTGATGCCTGGTAAACACACACTGCCATTAACACACTGATAGCACTGCTCTGTCAGAGTGTGTCTGTGTGTGATAGAGATAGACCTACTTTTAATGAGTGTACCCAGTCGAGGTAAAGTGAGTTTAAGGACATAAATCCCCCCCGAAAACAGTGTGGTGTGCTGATTCCACCTCACATCAACATGCATTTCATTTGTGGGTAATTACATTTATCTTTTTCAAAACATAAACTGCTATTTGCCTCGATGTTAATATAAAAATATTCTGTTATTATACTAAATGTGTATTTCTTTGTGTTTGCGTGTGTGTTTGAAAGGCAATGAATAACAAGTGGAAAGTCCTCTGTGATTCTACATCTCTATATTACATTAGCTCGTAATAGAAAAGCAGGGAGATGAGTGGCTCAAATGAGATAATGGATAAACACAGTGGAAAACAGATGCACAGATGCAGCGTGTGTGACTGAGGACACACGCAAACACACCCACACCTGAAACCACACACACTCCAGTGAGAGCACTGTAGCAGCTTTTAATAACGATCACCCACATCACTTCATTTGCATCTTTGCATTTGAATTAAAACCAGTAAATCAATATATAACATAATACTCACAGTAAAGTGAGGAGAACATGGAGACCTGTTCAGATTTGAAGGCAAATCTGATACAAAACATCTTGATCACTGTCTTCAATGCACCAATGTGCACAATTAGTCGACAATGATGCGTTGCGTTATGGCGTAACACTACTTTGGTAATAAAAGCAGGAAGTTTTTATGGTCTCCCTGAGGAGGAAAGGTTTTGTTTTATTATGTGATTCAAATGAGACTGAAGACAAGGTCTACTTTATGTTTTATCATATTTTCTATTATAATTTAGTGGCTATCATTTCACCCTCAGCAGAGAGAAAGACTTGATGTGTGATATAGGAAAGAGGTTTGTTTTAGGAGGCAGATTTCACTGGATTGATTGGGAGAGGAGACAAAGTTCATACAACAAATCCGTAGCTATAGGTCATTTGTCCCAACCCTCTGATACAGTACAAGCATCTCCTGAAATAGCGCCCCTATGGTGGCGGGCGTATAGGACCTTTGTTGTCACGGTTACAATAACGTGATCAAACTTATGGAACAGTCATAGTTTAGTCAGGTTTAGGCACAAGAATTGGTTAAGTTTCTTAAGGTTGGAGGACTTTGTCGTCATAGTTACTATAATAAACACACAGTTAATGTCGGGGAATGTCGAGGGGTAAGACAAACAACAAGGACCATTGGTTTCAAATGGGGAGCGGTTCCTGTGTGAAAGCCCTGTGTTTTGTGGGTCCATCCATCCAGCTCAAGCTCCTCATCACATGGACTTTGTCGCTCTTTATACCAACCTGACTTCCACCTTTGGTCCTGTCATAATGACTACGCCTGCGAGAGGTCAGCTAACGATAAAACAGAACTATGGGCTGTATAAGGACTCGTTAGGCTCAAACCATCTCTGGTCCAAAACATCAACATTTCATGAGCTGAAGAGAAAAGCCCCGCTGTCCGTTTTGTGACAATGCAGTTTTTTGATGCTGTCTCAACTCTAGTATAATATTCCAGGCAGATGCAAGTGTTGATAATATTGTATACAACCCCCCAAAAAAAACCCCATAACACCTTTGGTGACAGCACTACTTTTTGTTATGATGACAATATTTTTTCTTATGCTATTTGCCTAAAACTGCATTGTCACTGTTATTTCTGTGCTGTGGTTCTTTATTATTTCCTGAATGCCTCCCATGAATGCTATCCACATCATAGCCATATCCACAGTGAACACACTCTTGGGAATTATCTCTATATGTCTTCTTTTGTGCCAGAAATCCACAATCCAGCTGTATGAGAACACTTTGAAGTGAGCAGTGACATTTTCAAACACCTGCAGAGGGCTGATCTGAAAGCATGAAAAGCTCTTGGCTGAACGAGGGAGGAAAAGAGAGAACAGGACAGAGGAGAAGGAAAGGAGAGGAAAGGAGAGGACAGGTGTGATTCCCACTGAGTTTTGTGTCTGAGGAGAAGCAGAGGAGGGAAAGTAGAAAAAAAAAACGAAGGAAAAACTGAGAGAGATAGAAAGGAGCAACAGAATCGCCCCGGAGTGTGTTCAACGTGAATCCCAAATCAACAGGCCTGTTAAAAATGAGCGATTGGGGAGCAGCTCTGCGTCTTGTCACTTTGGAAATATGATTTTTATTTCTTGTAGCTTTGCCAGGTGTAAAGTGCTTTTTCTCGACAACTGTAAAGTGCTCTTTTCTGCCCTATCATATTAGGCTTTGCATAAAAGACAAATGATTGATACAAAATACATAAACATAATCTAACCAGTAATGTCTCTTTTCTTTGTCTCCAGCTTTGGGTTTCTGGTTGTGCTCTTCAGTGTATCCAAGCCCTACACTACAAACTAACTGCATGCATTATTAACTACAGTGTGCTGTGTTTGCAGTTAGTATGAAATTAGAGCTGCAAAGATTAGTCGATTGACAGAAAATGAATCGGCAGCTGTTTTGATAATTGACAAATCGTTTCAGTCATTTTTCAAGCAAAAATACAAAACATTCCCTCAGGTGAGGAAATCTGCTACTTTCCTTTGTCATATGTGATCATAAAAAAAAAATCTGCAGGTTTTGGATTAAGGGTTGGAAAAAACATGCAAACTAAAGACGTCACTGTGAGCGCTAGGAAATTGTGAATGCCATTTTTATTCAATTTTTTCTCTTAAATGATTCATCAGTTATAAATAAAATCATTGGAAAATGAATCAATAATGAAAATATTTGCTTGCTGCAGCCCTAAAGGTAAGAAGACACTTTACTGTTTTCTGCTGACAGATATCGATACACTTGTACCATTGTAAAGTGCATCATTTAAACTTTCAGGAGCTGTTTCCCCACCGTTCACAGTTAGTTTAAAGCTCTATGTCACTTTTCCAGTGTGAATACTCAACACACTCAACACCTGCTTAGAACTGGTGTGAACTGGTGTGTAGTATGGATTTGGTTGGAGTTGTACTGGTTGTTGCTGCTGAGGATGAGATCTGTTTTTTCTTTGTCACTTCCAAAGAATGTGGGAAAATAACATCACAGCAACAGCATTGACTACAGTGTGATATGATATAGTGCTGTATCAGTGAGTGATAAAAAAAGTACTGGAATTTAGTTCTTTGATTGGCCTGTTGATTCGGGATCCACTAAAACCTCATTAAGTGCGTTCTCAGTGCTGATTGGCTGTCACACCTGTCCGTTCCTTCCCGCTGCGTCTCCATTGGGGGGTTTCAAGCAGAACGTAGAAGGAGGACTGCTTATTGTACTCCTCCCGGTCTAAGATCCTAAGGGTTATGCTCTTCCTGTATGGGACACACACGCACACACATATATAGAGGGAGGTGGTAAATGCATGCGTGATAAAACAAACAGCATGGCAAGGTATGTACACACACAAAAAAAAAAAAAAAGTCAAAACACACACACACACACGCACACACACAAAGTGGAGTGGTGGATGTGGTGAGTTGAGGTGATCCACAACCTGCTGCATGTTCACTGTCACAGTCCACGTGTTGAGAACATGCAGCCTCTGCACAATGGCGGACACTCAAGGGTTCAACGCTCACAGCGTCACGAGGCTCACCCCCTTCCTGACCTTTAGTGTCGTTGCTCTCCAACAGGCGAGGCTCTCCGATCTCTATGTAGAAGGTTTTGTTCTTCTCGTACTCCTCGTCGTCGATTATTTTCACCTTGATGGTTTTACTGAAGAGGAGGAGGGGGAGGAGGGGAAGGGGGAGGAAGGAAATGAGGAGGAGGAAAAGAAGAGAAGGCAGAAAAGTGAGGAAAGAACAGGCTGGAAACTGGAAAACCAAGAGAAAACAGGAAAGAGCAGCTTTTGGTTTCCGCACAAGCGCCTAAACCTCACTTTTCAATTTCAATACATCCAGCAATCAGGTAACATTGAAAACACTCATGTTACTCAATAAGAGGCTGTTCTTCAGGCTCTGTTGCCTTCAGCAACATCCACAATCCACCTCATTTAAGCATCAGCATCTGATGTCAGATTAATCTCTGATGTTATCCTAACAGCTCGCATCAGTCTGACAAGAATGATCTGATAAACTCTGCAGCCTGTGGTCCTGGTCGAGGCTCACTTCAATCTTCTGCTGCAGCGTGATATCAGCTCTTTAAAAACAACTCTATTAGTCATTTTGAGGTGCTGATGAATTTGTCTTGTACAATCGATAAACTTTTGGGATCCAGCAGCAGGTTTGCAATTTGAGTATTTAGTACAAATTTCTTTGCTGCTGTAAAACTATTTGACAAAATATCCGGTGAAGGCTGAATGTGTGTAATTCCTTTTTTTTTTACTGTCTTGTGGGAAACCAGAACAATTCACCATCAATTCAGCCAATTCAAGAATTCAATTTTTTTTTATCAAAATCTACAGTAAAATATCGCAGTCAGAGACCAAAAGAGTTTTAGGAATGGAGCTGTGGGCTCATTTCACATTTTTGGCTGAATTGAAGGTGAACAGACATATTTTAGTGTTGGAAGTTGAACAGCCCAGCACATAGACGAGTCTGGAACATTAGGAGAAGAAGAAGAAGAAGAAGAAGAAGAAATCATTCCAGACCAGAAGCAATGAACAGAGAGACTGAGCAGGGGAAATAACAATGAAGGAGGAGTGGATATTTTTAACCGAAAGATATGTCTGCTGCTGCAATTAACACCTTCACCACCTTCAATTATCACCCTCAATGAGACACAGTGACGCTACCAGTCTGACCAGCTCTGCCTTCTGATTTAAGCCAACAGAAGCTGAATAAGTGCAACGAACATGTTGATACGCCACAACGGAAACAGCACATACAGTATCTGCAACATAACCTTCTCTGCAAGCCTGAAATATCTCATCACATCTCAACCTTCCAGTGTCTGATTAAAACAGGAGTAAACCAGCCTGTGAACTGTAGCCGCGTTCTGTCAATGAGCAAAGACAAGCCACTGATTTCTGTCTCTGAACCGGTACCCGCAGCACCAGCAACAACCTAATCCTTCAGAAAGTATGAGGGGAGAGAGCGTGTGTGTGTGTGTGTGTGTGTGTGTGTGTGAGAGAGGCTGTGTGTATTTATTGTGGCAGTTGGCCTCGGTCATATCTGGCAGGAAAGCTAATAACTGAGGTCACAGGGCTTTGGAGCACGACACGGTATATGCAGTATGTACGTGTTTGTGTGTGTGTGTGTGTGTGTGTGTGTGTGTGTGTGTGTGTGTGTGTGTGTGTGTGTGTGTGTGTGTCCACATTGTGGGGACCTTAATCTGTTTACACAGTCACATTATGGGGACTTTATGGGGACTAAAGTAAAGACATATTTTAAGGTTAGGGTAAGAATTAGGCAAGTGGTAGTTATGGTTAGGTTATGTGTGTGTGTGTGTGTGTGTGTGTGTGTGTGCGCCTGTGGCCATATGTGCTAATGTGTGTTTATCTTGTGTTTCCAGTCTGGAACAAAACCTATATTCTGATCCAAATCCACTACAGGCAAAAACAAAGAGAGCTGAGAGAAAACTCATAATCTGGCCTATAGGGTGGGAAAACAGGAACACACACAAACACGCTCATCATTATCTCTGATCGCAGGCCTGCAACCTGTGCTGAATCGTTAGCTGGCATCATTTTAGCAGCATTACGTTTCAATCGTGCTCTCTTAAATTATAGGCCATTTGAAAAGTAAAAGGCACACGGCAGTTCATACTGTACAGGGTTGTTGTATTCAGGCTGTGCTCTGGTTTTAGCAACATAAAAGTAGCGATACCACACTATAAAAATTGCAAAGTGCAGCAGCAAGAAAAAGTGTGAACCCTTCGGAATTCAATTTTCTGATCTTCATCTAAGTCATAAGCCAAGATAAACACAATGTGCTTGCACTAATAAAACATAAACAGTTATAATCTTTCATGTCTTTACCGAACACTCACAGGGCTGTTGGAAAAAGTACGTGAACCCTTGGATTTAATAACTGGTCGAATTCAAAGTAGCTCTGACCCAAACCTTCAATCTTCTCCCATTGACTGGACTCCAGGTTTGATGGCTCCTGACTCCAGTTAGTGTTTTGTTAATGTCATTTGGTGTTCACAGACTTTTTCCACACTACACTGTGAATGTTTGAAACATGTATTCAGTACGGACACAATGATTTGCATGTATTTGTCTTTTGTAAAAAAACATTGTGTTTGTTCATAATTACAACTTAGATGAAGATCTGACCATGTACGAAGGCAAATTTATACATAAATGCAAATAATCCCAAAGGGTTCACTCACTTTTTTTGCCACTGTAAAAGTCCAGTATTCAAAATGAGCTAATTAGAAGTACAACACGTCCCTCTAAAATGAATTGGAGTAGAAGTACAAAGCGGCATAAAATGACAATAATGAAATACAAGTACCCCAAAAGTGTGCTTGAGTTCAGTTCTTGAGTAAATCTACATTTGTACCACAGACAGCCTTGGTGCTAACAGCATACCCCTTTCATGACAGAAGGCATATAGCAGCGTGCTAATCATCTAATTATACACAGGAGCATCACAAGTTAATCTATCAGCTGCATAATATAAACACAGTAGAGGTTAATCCATTAAAATGTGAAACGCAATCACGGACACTCACACACGCGCAAATATCAGGGGTTAACTCATTACGCTACAGGGATTAGTGCATTTATCACTGTCCCATAACAGCAGATGGAGAACAGTTTTCACCTTCTGGCCTGGAGGAGCTCATGACCAACAGACTGTCAGTTAGCGCTCACACAGCAGCTGGAGAGGTGATGGAGTAAAACCCTACCCTGCCTCAAGGTGGAGCCCTTGAGCAAGATACTTCTCCTCCGAAGATGACGGAGTGGAAGTACTCAAGGAACGGCAAAGTTTACATTCCCACACGGGATATGGACACTGCTACTACTACTTCAATGAATACAAGGCTAATTACCAGTGGACAAGAAGTACACAGGGAGTTTCTATGATTTGGAAATTCACCACTCACATTTGTATGAGATAAACAAAGTTAGTGTTTCACTCATATTTACCAGTTTGCTGGTTCCTTCTCTGAGCGTCTCATTCATGCTGAGTAACTACATGCATTTCTTCACTTTGCACCCACACTGTTATATCAAAGCTCTCATTAAAAATCCACTGCAGCCTCCATAACTCAGGATGAGAGGAAATAATGCAGTAAAACCAGCCGAGCCTTGTTAACACCAAATTGCTGATTCATGAGACTAATATTTTCACATGAACCATCTTTTGGCAGGTTTTTTTTTTCTTCTTTTTAATAGATGACAACATGGCAGATTTGCATAGACGACCTCTGCAATTAAGACCTGAGGCAACACTAGTCTCATGTGTATAAGGCTTTGGGCTGCATTTCCCTTAAAACCAATGTTTCTATCAAATCGGCAGCAGAACAAATGTTTTTGTATCATTAACCTAATTCGTCAGTGCCATTGTAGGACATTTGGACACGTGATGACATGAAATCATAGGAAACTGTGTGTGGGAAGAGAATAAAAACAGTGATTTAGCCCTCCATATATGCATAAAATGACAATGAATCATTTGTGCAGAGACAGATTGGTGGACTGTTTTCCCAAGTTCGGGAATGGTGACTCCTCTGTTGAAGCTGGCAAACCTCATAGATGACCATCTCGCTGGAAAAACACACACAACACACACGCGCACACAGCCACACACACACACACACACACACACACACACACACACACACACACACAGATAGTCTCACAGTCAAACAAGCATTTCCAGGCAGTGCATCCATGCAGATGTAATTCATCCACAATGAACTGGATTTATCATCTTTATCTGAACCCTCATCTCTCTCTCTCTCATGTTTCACACATATACACTCACTCGAACACACAAACACGCACACATGACATGACAAACATGCTGGCCGTACAGTGTGCTGTCCCGTTGCCGTGGCAACGCAATGTTTGGGTAACCAACAGGGGTGGAGAAGATTGTTTCCAGACCATTGATGGGTGTGTGTATGTGTGTGTGTACTGACAAGTGATTGTGTTTGAGAGAGAGAGAGAAAGAGTTCACATACTGTACACACACCATACTCTATGTGTGTGTCGGTACATATGTGTGTGTATATAATGATGTGTGTAAGACTTTGACATTGCACAGTGGTTTACATTGTGTGTAGTAAGTGGCGACTCTTTTTGTGTCTGCATTCAATCACATGTTAATCTACCAAACATTCACACAGTGTGAAGACACACTTTTCTGTGTGTGTGTGTGTGTGTGTGTGTGTGTGTGTGTGCCATGTGATGGTTCAGTAAGAATAATTGAGAAGGAAATGTGCTAAGAAACATGTGATAGTGGCACATTGAATGTGAAATTTACACTCTTCACACACATCCATGTTTATGTTCTTATGTAGTTATGAGGACTCTCATTGTCATAGTGTGTTTCTTGGTGCCTTACCTTGACCGTAAACTAAACCTAAACCTACCAGTAACCCTAAAATAAAGTCTTAAAGCACCAGTGTGTATCTTGCAGTGAAGCTGCAGACTGTAATCAACTGAATACCCCCCCCCCCCCCCGTGGGAGAGGACCCGCGCTCTATGTAGATATGAAAGGCTCATTCTAAGCTGAGGAAAACACAATTGTTCATAGTTTCATTATAAAATAATAAAAACATAATTATGAATATTATATTCCATTTCCGCCAATAGATCA